GAGGGGCAGGGTCCCTGGTGCACCGTGAGCGGTCAATAAACCCCTGGCATCCGCACTGCGCCCGCCTCCGCCCTCCTCACTCATGGAAAGTGGAACCGCCCCGCGGCCTGGAGGGGGCACGCTGCTCCCTGGAGACGCCTCGTGGCCGGCGGGGGCAGTAGGGCATTATCCTCTCCCAGCAGGAACATGGGGGCTTGGGCAGGCCCACACCGGTTCCCAGGAGGCGCAGGGCTAGCCAGAGTGGGCACACAGAGCATAGAGCAACGGAGGGCTATGCCAGTGTATCAGTGCCCTGCCCCTAGCACCTGGCATGCTGCCCTTTCCCCACTGGAGCTGGGCTTTAGCACCACCCCGGGAAAGCCAAGGCCCTGCCCAGTGCCCCCCCCACCTTCCCCCCGGAGCCAGCCAGCGTGGGGCACCCGGAGCCCAGTGCCAGCAGGCAGAGCTGGGCCAGGACACGAGAACCTGGTGAACAGGGCTCCAGGGCACGGGACCCCGCCCCAGGCCGGACCGTCACTGCTCCTGGGCCCCTTTGTTCCAGGACTCTGGGCCTGTCCTGGGCCCCTCCCCTGCTCAAACCTGGGAAGGGCTGGGGGATATAAACCCCTGGGGGTCGCCCTCCCTGAGCTGGGGGATGACGGGAGGGATGGGCAGGCCCGGCCCCAGCTCACCTCACAGAGCCACACACAGCAGGGCAGGTTTGGCAACGCGGTTTATTTGCCGAGGCCCCGCGGGGGCGGCGCGGGGGAGGACACAGCAAGGCACGAGGGCAGCAGCAGCGCAGCCAGGGCTGTTCACACCCCCCCAGCCGGGCCAGGCCCCGGGCTCCCTGCACCGGCATCAGGAGTGACGGCTACTGCTCCCAGCAGAGAACCGACACCAGAGACAAGCAGTAGTGGGGAAGGGGGGAGTCCCGTGTGCAGCTCCGCTGGTGCCCCCCATCCTGCCCGCTGCCACATGAGCCCAGCCCTGGCTCCCCCCACCTCACACTGCTGATGTCCCTCAGCCCCTGCTCTTCTAGCCCTCCAAGGCTGCAGCCCAGCCCTGCCCCTGCCCTGCAGCCCCCCAGACACCGGCACTCGCCAGGCTGCAGCAGGCCCCAGTGCTCACTAGGGCTGAAGGGAGACGGTCGAAGGGACAGCGTGAGCGCGGACAGCACAGCCCAGGCGGTGCAGACTCACAGCACCCCCTGGAGCCCTTCAGCGCTCACAGCCCTGGCCCGACCCTGTGCCAAGGCACTGACAGGCAATAGTGACTGGACAGCCCCCCCAAGTCTCGCTGCCCAGGGCACGGCTGAGAGGAGCCGTGGGCCTGCTCAGGCCAGGTGCCCCTGGGAGAGCTGAGGGGGAGGCACGGACCATGGGGCCAGGACACCCAGAGCAAGGGAAGGGGGGGCCTTGCCCTGCCCCCAGCATCAGAACAAGGGGCAGGGAGATACCAGCTCCCTGCCACGGCCACATCCCACTAGCGAAGTCAGGCCTGTGTCAGCACCCTGCTGGGGAGGGGCACTATTTCCGCTGAGCTTGGGGGCACCGACTAGGCACTACCCCCTGCCCGTCAGGCCTGGCTTTGGGGAAGCAGGTGCAGCAGCTCCCAGCTGCATCCCCTGCTAACCACGGGCCCCAAGGCCCTGGCAGATTGCCCCCTCCACTGCCCCACACAGCCCAGCAGCAGGGCTGGCCATGGGGGCTGGGCCCAGGTGTCTGTATGGAGGGCCCCAAGGCAGTGAGCAGAGCCCCAGGGAAGGGGGTCTCGTGTCTCCCCCTGGGGGGAGGGGGGCAGCACTCAGAGCCCCCAGGACCCGGGCACTCGGAGGAAGTGCTGTAGCCAGCAGGAGGGACGCAGCCAGCCATGGCTCTGCCAACACCCCTACCCGGCCTGGCTGGGCACCACAGCTCCTGCCCCGCAGGCTCTTGGAGGCCAGGCCGGCCAGCGGCAGTGGAGTCCCGTGGCGGCACGGTCACGCTGGGAGGTTGTGTGCGGACTTGGAGGCACCTTGAGCTCTCTGGATCACGGCCGGGCACTTCTCCCGCCGCAGCAGCTTGTTGTTCTCAAAGAAGCCTTCGCTGCGGGGCACCCCATGGGAGCCGTCGGGGAAGGTCAGGAGCCCTGGGGGAGGGAAGAGCAGGGAGTCACGGGGAAGGGAGCTGCACACACCAGGGAGGAGCAGGGTGGTGGGAGAGCGGGGCAGCAGGGGCCAAGGGGGGAACAGGGGTTGTGCTGGAGAGCAGGGCTGCCTGCCCGGCTCTGCCCAGGCTGTTCGTCCCGCTGCTCTTGCTGGGAGGGGCTGCGGCTGCTCGCCGGGGCTGCCTGGGACTCACCGAAGCCGTCCACACGCCCGCTCTTGAACTCGCCCTCGAAGGTCATCGAGTCGTAGCGCGTGAAAACTCCGACGCCATTGAACTTCCCCTGCACAAACTCCCCCTCGTACCTGCGCAGACAGACAGCCCCGCAGCGTCAGGCTCCGTGCCCTCCCCACAGCATCAGGCTCCCCGCCCACCCGCCCACGCCCCGCAGCGTCAGGCTCCCTGCCCTCCCCACAGCATCAGGCACCCCACCCACCCACCCGCGCCCCACAGCGTCAAGCTCCCCTCCCGCACCCCGCAGTGTCAGGCTCCCTGCCCTTCCCGCAGCGCCAGGCTCCCCACAGGCGCCCCGCCACGTGAGGCTCCCCGCCCACGTCCCACAGTGCCAGGCGTGGGGTAAGCAAGAGCAGAGAGGAGAGGGTCTCCGTGGGGTGGGAGGGCACAGACACACGACTCAGCACCAGCACCCCTCAGCCATCCCCAGTCCCCACGGACGAGAAAGGCCAGTTGCCCCAGCTCCCCAGGGTAGCCCCAGCAAGGCGCCGAACCCACCTGGAGCCATCGGAGAAGGTGAGCACTCCGCAGCCATGGAACAGCCCATTCTCAAAGTGACCCAGGTAGGTGCTGCCATCCGCAAACGTTAGCTGGCCAACGCCGTGCCTGCGGCCTAGGCAACAAGAGCGGGCAGCGTCACCAGCGCCTGCAGCCAGGGGAAGGGGCCCCAGTGCCCATCAGAGGGACAGGTGCAGGGTTGGGCAGGGCACTGCTGGGGGTCGCAGGAGCCTCACTTGGGCTCCACGGGACCAGATGGGAAAACCCAGAGCTAAGCTGGCTCCCAGAGCTGGCCCAGCTGGGGAGCTCAGGTTGCTGGGGCTCAGTGGGACCCACACCGAGCCAGGAACCCCAGCACTCACAGCTGCTCTGCTGGCTGCCGGTGCCCAGGGACAGGCAGGAGAGAGCCCGAGAGATTCAGGGGATGGCAGCTTGTCTTCACGGCTGGGCTCTGCGCCGTCAGCTCCCCAGGCCAGTGGGGCAGGAGGGTTTGGACTTTGTAACAGCAGCCTCTCCCGCCCCCCACCCCTGGGGCCAATCCACGCGTGGGGAAGGCATCTGCCACCCACCCGGACACAGGAGGCTCAAGGGAGAGGAGGAGGGGAGCACAGGGGAGTCCCGACAGGGCACATTCATGGTCCACGCTGGCAGGAAGCTGCCGGGTGCCAGGGCAGACGTCCCCAAACGCAGGTTGCTCCAGGGCTGCTGCCAGCTTTCCCTGTGCCAGGGCAGGGCTGCCTGGGCTGGCACGTGCAGCTCAGGAATCCCCAGGCCCGAGCCGGTGGGGGGAGAGGTCACTGCCTGCTCTCATCCAGAGGGGCTGGGACCTGGGGGCAGTGTGTGGCAGTGCTGCTCAGCAGCCGGGTGAGAGGTGCTGTCTAGACAGACCCAGCTCTCCCCACAGCACACCCGGCTCCCCAGAGAGGGCAGCCCCAACACCGCCAGGGACAGGGCTCCCTGGCAGCCAGTGGTCCTCTTCCCCAGCGTAATGGGCTGAGGCCAAGGGGGAAGGCGGGAGATCAGGCTGCCCTGTCCCAGGAGCGGGGGAAGGCCCGTGGAGGGCAGGGGCAGATGCTGTCTGGGGAGAACCTGGGTTCCTGATTCTTTAAGGGCCTGGCACCAGGAGCCTTGTCACATAGGGAGGGGCAGGCTCCCTTCTCCCAGCCAGCCGGGCCCAGCCCTGGGAAGGAGGGCACCATACAACCTGTGGGACGGATTGGAGCAGGTGCCTCTCCCTGCCCTGCCCGCAGAGGAGGCTAGCAGGCAGTGCCCAGCACAGATGCCAGGGGCTGTTTGCAGCCCGTCTGGGTGGAGCCAGGGGAGGGTAATGGAATGGGCCAGCTGGGAGGCACAGCCGGTCCATGGCGCTGCACCCTGCTCACCTTCCTTCCACTCCCCGCAGTACTCCTCCCCGCTGGAGTAGGTGAAGGAGCCCTTGGTCAAGGTCATGGTGCCAGCTCCGGGGCGGGCGAGACGACACCTGCAAGGAAGGGGCAGGTGAGAACACCCAGCAGGCACTTGGGGTAAGACACACAGGGCAGGGAGCCTGCTGGATGTGCAGGGCCCACACCATGTGGTTTGCCATTATTCTGAGGCCTCACCCTGCCCCCAGTGCCCTGCTGCAGGCCAGGCAGCATACTGCAGGAAGCTCTCCCTCTGCCCAAAGCACACCCCACGTTCCACGCCCAGTGCAAGCTCCTTGGCCTCTCCCTCAAGGCTCTGCCTAGCACCGGCCGGCACTTCCCCATTCCCTTTGGATCGCCTCCCACCCCCAGTGCCTCTCTGAGGCCTGTCTAGGCCTGACCTGCCAGGGGATGCCCTCTATGCACACTGCTAGTCAGGAGCTGGCTGGAGGCTGAGCCCTCCAGCTGACCTGACATTGAATCCTCCAGCGCCACGCTGCAGCCCCTCAGACGGACTGGCAGCTGCCTAGACGGGGGAGGAACGAGCCCTGGAACCGTACCGACCTCCATGCCCTGAGCAGACAAGGCGCCTGCGCAGGCAGGCAGGCTAAGGAGCTCCCTGCAGGTAAAGATGGCACCTCCGGACTGGGAGCTGAGGAGGACAGGACTTCCTGCTCTGAGTGAGAGACTAACCTGTCGCTGGATTCCGCAGAGCAAACAACTCTGCTCAGAGCTGAGCTGCTGAGTACTAAGGGATGGGGGAAGGTGTACGCCACGTCGCTCTCTGTGCACGGCTGAGCGAGCGGGGGAGCTGGGACTGCCCAGCATTTCAGGGGCAGCTCTCTGCTAGCTTTACCGTTTAAATGACTCAGGAGTTGACTGTCGTAGGCCGGTCGCCTGATCCATGTCTCCAGAACCTCAAAATACCTGGGGACCTGCTGACTGCCTGGACAGACTCTTGGATTTGGGGCCTGCAATGTCTGCAGTGGGTAGGCTCTCATTTGCATAAGGGGGACCTAATCGAGCCCTTTGGGTGATCCTGTGATCTCGGGTGAGGATTTACTGAGGGGCTTCCAAAGGGGAGAAGGCAGCCAGGCCACCCTTTGCTTGCCTGGCCTAGCTGCTCCTGTCCAGCAGTCTCTGGCCACCTGATGCCATCATGCCTGGAGAGAGGATTGTGCTTCCCCCACCCTCCCAGCTGGCCAGGGAAGGGTAGGAGTCTAGCCACAGACAGCCACTAAGCTTTGACACCTGCCAGCAAGTAACCTCTAGGAGCCAGCAAGACCTTCTGAGTCAGTGATAAAAGCACTGGGTATTACCCCAGCCCAGCTTCCGGCGGCTGAACCAACCGAGAGTCACAACCACCATCCTGCGCAAGTATCAACCTTCGGGGTTTGCTCTTCTCTTCCAACTTACCGGCAGAGGGCTGCTGCTACCCCCCACTTCGTGCACGTAGGGTTTAAGCTCCAGCACATGGCTGGTAGCGAGCACACCAGCGTGCAGTGGGGCTGGGCCCCAGAGAAGTTAGGTGAGAGTGGCACCTGTACAACAGCTCTCAAACTCCTGACTGCCCAGGGGAAACAACCTCCTTGCCTAGGAGATCGTACGCATATCTCCTGGGTTAGGAGCTGTATGTTTAATCCTGAGAAATCACGTGGTTTTCACCTACATTTGTCACTTGAATTGTAAATGAAATGTCCCAATAGAACTCCAACCAACACAGCTTGTTACACGGAACCATGTGCGGATTTGGCTGGGGGGTGATTTTGGCCCTCCCTGAATCACTATTCAACAGGAATAAAGCTATCGACTGGCACCAAGATTCATAATGCTGCTCCCTTGGGGCTGACGGCTATGCAGGACGGCTGCCTTCCCACAGTATCACACCGAGCTTAGAGGGAATTGTTGGATTAAATAACCCGGATCGTCGCTTGCTACTAACCCACTTTCTCAATGTGACTTGTCCACGCTTTTTGCTGAATTTAGTAAATAAAATACATGAACTGGAGACCTGCCTGGTTTGCTTCTTTCTTCCCCAGATGTCAGGTTCCGGACCTGCAAAGTCCCAAGGTAAATAAGAGGAAACTGTGCCCCACCTAGTGGTGGTCCACAGAACTGCCCCATAACCCTCCCCTAAATGGCACGTGCACAGGGACACAGCTGGGTTTTGAGGGAAAAACTGACTTCTGTATTAACAGACCCTGTCAGTAGCAATGTAGAACCAACCATTGGGGCCCAGCCAGCCAAGCTACCCGCTGACCAGTTCTAGACTCCTCACGCCCCAGTGGAGAGTCACATTGAGCACGGAGAGGCAGGATGTTTGCACACCGCCTGGGGAGAGCCGGGCAAACACCTTCTGTGAAAGGCTGGATTTGACTAGGAACTTCATGGCCACTGGGATATCAGCCAGCTCCTCAAGGCCCGGGATCATGCACTGGGAGAGGAAGGTTGGAAGGCCCTGTCAGTCCTTGCATTAGAGATTGCGTTCACCAGTTCAACTCTGCGCTTCACGTGGTCACAGGGCTAACCTTGGCCAGCTGGCCTGACATGTCCACACCAGGGACTGTCACATCAGTTAACCCTTTGTGGTTCCCCAGTGCAGAGATGGGTTGTGGGAGCCTGAGGGATTTGCTAGCTCGCCAGATGGCTCAGGGAGCAGGGCCCAGCCACCTCCTGGGTGTTCCTGATCCTCTCTCAATAAGGCTGAGGCTGTGTCCTAGATTGCTGCTTGGAGAATCTTGCAGAGACTGCCCTGGAGGAGGAGTCCGACGTCTTGCCCAACTCAGGCCTTGGTCAGACTATGGCTCCTGTCCCTGGAGGTGCCCTGAGCCGGGATCAGAGCGGACTCCAGGCAATGCCCAAGGCCCACAGGGGAGACGGGAGTTTGAGAGCTGGGGACCGGTGACCACCCCAGGACAGAAGATCCCAGCTCCTCAGCTAGCAGTGACCAGTCTGTGTGCTCAGTTCAGGTTGCTGTTGCCTGTGGCTTTTGTTTCATCAGCCCAGAGTCAAAGCCCAATAGGGCGGCATCTCCATGAAATAGTGGAGAGGCGTCTCATTCGAAGGGCGAGGAGCCCTGCTCTGTCCTCGCGGACGGTGTACTCCCCCACCCCTCCACCACCTGCACCCCAACCCCACACTCCTGTACCCTACTCCCCCACCCCACCACCACCTGTACCCTATCCCCACACTCCTGTACCCTACGCCCCCACCACCTGCACCCCAACCCCATTCCTGTACCCTACTCCCCCACCCCACCCCTCCACCACCAGCACCCCAACCCCATTCCTGTACCCTACTCCCCCACCCCACCCCTCCACCACCTGCACCCCAACCCCACTCCTGTACCCTACTCCCCCACCCTTCCAC